ATAAGTACTTGGAATTTGAGAAATAAGAAAACTTCTTTTTGAAAAGGATGATCAGCCAATTCCAGAGGTACTGACAGCGAGATCATGAGACTCAGGAAGAAAATCTAGATTCCCCAGGGAGTCAAGGTCATCACCAGTACATGTAAGAGGCTTGTTACAAAAAGTCTAAAGGAGAAGCTAATAATCAAGATCCAGAGTGTTGAGCAATGCTGCGGTTAGGTCATTGTGGAGTAACCAAGAAAGGATAAAAAGTGGGAAGAAAGCCCAAGAATTCAAACTAAACCTGAGTCCAAAAGCTCGGCGAGGGAACAATCCTAGTCTGGGAATGTTTTTAGGATCTGGAGTAGATGGGCAAGTTGCCTGTTGATCAGAGGAGAAAAGTTGTCTACTGTAGATTAAAGGAGCTTTCTTGGAATGAGCCAATAGATGTGTGCTATATCCTAGAAAATTAGGGTTTGTTCTGTAAGGTGCTTGTCTTTTCTCTGAAAAAGGAAAGTGTTATTTGCTTGGTCGTGTCCAACTCTTTGCAACCCCATGGACTGTAGCCCACCAGGCTCCTCTGTCCATAGGATTCTCCAAGCAAATTCTTAGAGTGGGTTGCCATTCCCTTCTCCAGGGGATCTTCCCAACCCAGGGACTGAACCTGGATCTCCTGCATTGCAGGCAGATTCTTTACTATCTGAGCCGCCAGGGTAGCCTAGTCACTCACAATTCAAACAAGATACCTGTGATACAATGGCAGCTCCCTAACTTTGGAATCAACCAATGATGAAGTAACATAGACCACAGATTTTCCTCTTTCCCTTTCCTCTTTTGTGCAGGGAGCTTAGAGTCAAATTGCTACCTGCCTTAAGTGTGGAAATACATTTCCGTGTTCTGACTTTTTCTCTAGCCTCTGTTATTATTTATTTCTTGTTTTAACTGTATATTAAGTTCATTCTGGGCTTCCCTGGTGACTCAGCAGTATCGAATCTACCTGCAATGCAGGAGATTGCAGGTTCAATCCCAACATCCTTTGGAGAAGGAAATAGTAACCCACTCAAGTATTCTTGTCTGGGAAATCCTATGGACAGAGGAGACTGGCAGGCTACAGTCCATGGGGTCGAAAAAGAGTCAGACCCCACTGAGCGACTAAATAAATTTCATTCTAGTAGTGTGTATATTTTGTAAGTCAACCAAGATTCTTTTTTGAAATGAGGCATAGAAAAAAATTTATAAAGCTTCTCCTCTTAATGTCCATCTTCCATTTCTTTAAGGGTTTTGTTGGGGTACATGGCCAGGCAAATGTTTCTGTGTCAGCTTTCAGTTATTTTCTTGGTTTAAAGTAAAAATAAACCATCACTGTTGACCAACTTTATGATGGCCTGAGGGTTTGATAACCACTGAGTAACAAAGCATCCCAGGACACTTGAAGTGAGTATAGAGGAAAGACATTGAATCATGTGGTGTTCTTCAACATGCTTCAAAATATTAACCTTGTAGATGAACTAATGCTGTTTAAATGGATGCGTTTTTGGTGCAGACATGAAGTCTGCATTCTGAGTGACAAGGTAAGACAAATATTACTGAATTATTGAAATATATTACTGAAACCAGGTTTATTTACTGAAACTCTGATTACTTGACAAGTGAAATGGGTTTAGTGTTCTCAGACAGTTTCCCTGGAGCCGCCATAAGGGACACACCACATAAACTGCTTTGGCAGGTGGGCTCTAAAACATGGAAGGAGCCAAAGAGCACACAACTTTGCAGGTAGCCCTACACCCCGAGGTGCAGCAGCACCTGGAGGGCAGCCAAGAAAAACCTGATCCAGTAGCCGCTAGTCAGGGCCCAGGGAAGGGAGCTGACCTAGTGTGGCTCCAAAGCCCACTGAGCATCAGAGTCACCTGAGAATGATGTTTGTAAATTTCTGGGAGTCCCTCCTGTGCTGTTCCCACCGTTTGAATCCACTGGGCCTGACGTGGAGCTTCATGGATGTACTTGTATATATATGTGTGTGTATTTGTGTGTGTGTGTACATGTATTCTCAGGGGTCTCCAGAGAAACAGAACCAACAGAAAATAGATAGGTAGGTAGATAGAGAGCTAGAAAGAGATATGTACATAAATATATGTATGCTGCTATTACATACACATATACATACATATTTATGTGTGTGTGTATATATAACAGGATAGGTAGGTATATACATATATATGTATATATATAAATTTGTTGTATATAAATAGGATGTATGTTTTCCTATTTATATACAACCAATTGTGTGTGTGTGTATATATATGTTTAACAGAATAGATAGCTAGACAGGTGGGTTCTATTAATTCTGTTTCTCAGGAAAACCTGACTAAGCAGTCTCAACCTTTACAAATAGTGCTCCATAGATGATCTTGTGTTTTTCCCTGCACCATAAAATGAGTCTAATTATACTGGATTCATTGGAAGAACTGATGTTGAAGCTGAAACTCCAGTACTTTGGCCACCTGATGTGAAGAGCTGACTCATTTGAAAAGACCTTGATGCTGGGAAAGATTGAGGGCAGGAGGAGAAGGGGACGAAAGAGGATGAGACGGTTGGATGACATTACTGACTCGACAGAGATGGATTTGGGTGAACTCCGGGAGTTGGTGATGGACAGGGAGGCCTGGAGTGCTGCGGTTCATGGGGTCGCCAAGAGTCGGACACGACTGAGCAACTGAACTGAACTGAATACTGGATTCTCCCAGAGAATGAGTGCACACTGGGATGAGCTGCAATTCCATTCTTCAGAAATATTTCCATCCATTTTGCACAGGTTAATCACCTGCTTCCAATGGTGTTAGGATGACATTATGCTTCTTTCCTCGACCTGATCCTTCCAGCTGGCTGTCCAGGCTGCAAGCATAGACATGTACCAGGGGTCTTCAGCAGCTACTTGCTTTGCACACCTCATATTTGCACAATATGTCATTGTTGGTCATGGTTCTGAGGCATGATTTAAAAAGTGGGCCTGGCCTTAAGAGTGGTCACTTAGCTGGTGAGTGAACTTTTCTGACTGCCAGACCCTAGGTCCCAATACAGCTCTGATGTTCTCTACTTGACTGTCTACAATGTGGTCAAAGTCAGTTTCTTTGTGAAATGTGTCTTGAAAATAAAGCTGACTGATGAAGTAAATGAAGAAACACACAGAAGTCTAAGAAAGCCATGGTCCTCAAGCAGAAGAAAAAGATAAAAAGTGGATAAATTAAAGCATCAATTTTCCCATTTGGACAGAATTATAATAAGCAAAGGGGTCACTTAAATTTGGTAGTTATGCTTTCAGGTATTTATAGGGGTGGATTTTATGGCAGCGTGGTATTTGCAAATGTAGTGAGTTAGTTCATTTCGTTGGCAGGACACATTTCTCATACCATCAAGGGTCTAGTCTCACATGGCTTTCTCCCAAATCTACAGGTCGGAAATCAGGAATGTAATCTTACTGTGCTCTCTCTGGTCTGGGTCAAGGATTTGATTTTGTAGCTCTCTCATCTTTTACAAGTCTGTACTAGACCTGTTGGGAATCATTAAAACTGTAAACTTTTGGAAGGACAGGGCAAGGAAATTCACATTTATTGAGTGATATTGTGTGCCAGACAGACAAGGTGCAGATCTGTCACTTCAGTTGAATTGCTATTCCAATTTTATTGATGAAAAAAAAAAAAGGGCTGGGTCCATATTTAGAATTTAGAGGTAACTTCAGGTCCAATTGATTCCAGAATTTATACTCTTTCCAACTCGTAATTCTGCCTCTGATAAAGTGCTAAGAAGCTGCACATTAATCAACTATAAACGGGGAATAGCATGGTATTTACACTTGGAGTGGAGTTGTATGATCACACATTCCCAGAATCTTTTTATAGTTCACAGGGAGTTTGTGTAGACTCCCCCTGAGGGAAAGCAGAATAATTGAGGTTGGAAGCAGCTTAACCCCAGTCATAAAAATCACTGACATGGGAAACTGAGAGGAAAATGGTTGCCCCTTGTGGGGAAAGGGTTGTGTGCCCCTGATGCACGCTATGTGTTCAGTTGGTGGAAGGAATGTCTTCAGCCTCAAGAAATATGACCCCTTGAACACACCTTATTTTTATGTTGCTACTATTGGTCTTTCCAAAAGCATGGTAACTACAAGTATTCATTTGTTCAGTAGAATGAAGTCTAAACCCTTTAAAAGATGAAATAATTTATCTTTTCCTCAGACCCCCCCAACCTCACACACACACACACACACACACACACACACACACTGCCCCACATCTTGCAGACACACAACTCCCTTTCTCATTAATTAGTAGGTACCCTATGGCAGCCCAAACATGTGTGGAAATTAAACTCTTCTGTTTTACCCCTTTTCCACGGTATTATTCATGTTCTGTAACCAGCAGGAGAAGTAATTATGCAGGTGGGCATTTGTTATATGATCAACCCTTGGAATGTAATATAGAAATGTGCTAAGCAAGGAAGTACTTATTTGACTTGCTTGAACTAATGCCTGGAAACTAAGCATGGTATGCACTTCATAGTATTATAAACCACACATCTGGATTATTTTCACATATCATACCTGCGTGGGTGGGGCGATATTTACATTCTTTTTTCCACTTTGGAGTTGTCCAGTGTCATCTAGCCTGTGCATGCTAGGGAGTGTTTGTGTGTGTGTGTGTCTATATTACATTCCCTTTTCCAGCATCTCCTATTCACTCTGAGTTTGGAGCATGTCCCATTGCAAAACTGTCACCAGTGTCTTCGAAACACACATGTACATTCCACAGGTCAAGCAAGTGGGCTCTGTGACTGCATGATGCCTTCTGTTTAAAAGAAACCCGAGTGGCAGCCAGCACTTTCCATCCAGCGGCACTTTATACTGTTAACTGTAGCAGCTGAAAAGTGAAGCTCAAAGGATTTTTTAGAAGCTGCTGCCCCAGCAGGTAACATTCTGGAGTTGGTTCTTTTTATTGTTTTGTTTGGGTTTTTTCCTGCTGTTTAAAATGTCCAAACCTTCCCGCTTGGCTAGACCTTTCTTTGCTAATGCAGCTTCCAAGCTGCCATCGTCTAGAAGGGATGATTTAAACAGCAAACAGAAAAAAAACAGCTTAGGGGAGAAGATTTTGAAAACTGGGAATGAAGGAAATTTGGTCAAACAGCAGCAGGTGCAAACGGCAGTCACTCCTGCCCAGCGGAAGACTTTACCACACAAAGGTAATGTTTTAAATCAGCTGCTTTTTTCAGCTTGGGCTTAGAAACTTCTTTCTTAATAATACTGCTATGTAACTTGAATAAGACTCTTCATGGTTTTAGAAACTTACCCATTTGTGTGAGTGTGACATTTTCTAAAATCCTAGAGTGCATTGCTAAAATAACCAATAATTAGGAAGATGCAGGTAATACAACTTTTTCATCAATTAAGAAATGATCAAAGAAAAACTGATTGTCTTCACTTCTCTTTGAGAAAGAGAGATTTTACTCTTGATTGTGTTTCACACACTTTCTTAATCCAGTTATATTCATATGAAGTTTCTTTTTTATTGCTTAGCTATATGAAAAGAAACAAACAAGAATATCTCCCAGAAGCACATCATTAACTGCAAAAGAATTTTTGCATGCTTAGTTTTTTGCAGTCTCTTTTAAAAGTCAGTTTGTATCTGAAATGATAATCTAATGATATGGTTCTTGGCCAAGCATGACAAAAATCTCTGCTAACATTGTTACCTGGAACATTTAAATGAGTCTTCTCAGGTGATTATTAGAATGTTTCCCTGAGAAAGAATATTGTTGAATACTAGACCTGGAATTGAGAAATGAAGTAACCAAATAAAGGCATCTATTATTTTTGTGTATATAATCATAGAGGGCAATGAAATCTAGCTTAAAATATTATAATAATTTTCTCCATTATACCAAGAACTACATATTAGGTCACTAAGAAACATTTATAATAGTTATTTTAATACATTTTGAGCTCTCTACCAAACCTGTAATATTTGGCCTGTGATTTTCTGCTAAAATAAAAAATTGTTTTAATATTCTTAATCTTACAAATGGAGGTTTTTATTTTCTAGAAAAAATAAGTTCACTGTTTAATTTTAATCCTGACCTCTACTCAATTAAAAACTGTTGCCAATGAATATGTAGTTATACATTTTAATGTTATTTCAAGGATACAAATTTCTTTCTGGAAATTTTTTAAATTTTTTTATTAATCTGAATTATTATTCTTTTATCCACTATGATCAATGACGTGTTTGTACAAAGCTATTTTGTTAATCAAAATACTTTATAAAAGATGCATATCGTGAACAATGAAGGATTTTAAAAATGCTGTTGGAAGTTGCTTAATAGACTGAATTTTGGCTACTTCAAAGGAAATTCTCTTTGACAGTATAATAGTATAAGAAATTCTTCACTTTGCTGTACAACAGAAACTAGCACAATATTATAGATCAATTATACTCCAATAAAAGTTAAAAAAATAAAAGGTAAAAAAAAAAAAAAAGAAATTCTTCTAAAAAGAGAGGTAAATTACCTCAATCTGAAGAGTGTCCAAACATTTATATGGTGTGTGTGTGTATATGTATATCTGTATCTGTGTAAGGTATTCTGGGAAAGAAGTTTTTAAACCAACGATCTAAGGTAAAACACTTATTCTGAAGATTATTCAAAATACTTTTTTTAGCAGCTTATGGGGTTTGAATGGACTTAGTGGATGAAAATAGTTTTTCTTTGATAACAGATTTGATTTAGGGGTTAGTTAAAAGTTATTTAAAACCAGGAATGATTATCAAGGTACAAGGTCAATATAGATAATTCAAGTTTTTGTTAAAAATAAACTAGGGACAGATAATGAAACAATGTGGTGGTATTTCCTTTGAGTCTGCCTAAGAGGATCCAGGCTATCTAAAAGGAAAAATTCCACTGCAATAATTTTGAAATTGGCATCAGGACTGGATTATTTGATGAAGACCACAGTCATCAGAATGTATATTTGCTTTTCTTTTTAATCAGAATCCTTTTCTCATGGCCACGCATCATATCATATAGAACCAACAGAAACCTTTAATTGTTGCAGAACAGGGCTAAGGTTCTCTTTATAGGATGGTTGAGTTGTGTTAAACTTGTACTTAGAGTGGTTTTCAAAATATCAAGAAATCCAAATAATAGTCATGCCATCTTAGGTTGTGTTGAAGTTGGTGTATGTTCCTGCCCATGGCGATAGGATCTTAGTGTTTGTTAGTTCTTTAGAATGTTTATCTTGTTTGATTCACAAGATTTAGTTTAGTCTCTTTATGTAGGTTCTCATGGACCTGACTTCCGCTTTTTCCCTTGTGTAATTTGTCTGGTAATGTAAGTGTATTCTTGTACCTCTTTAACTTTAAGAAGAGTCTCTCGTTTAGCTTGTTTCTTAAACTAGTGTAGTGAGCTTTGGCTTTACCTCTATTCCATGTCTCCCTCTCTACCTTAAATTTTGTCTTTCTGTCCTTTTCTTTTCTTATTAAAAAGGTTGACAAGTTATTTTTCATTTTCATAATTCATGATTTGCCTATAGGATAATTCTAAAAGTTGAAAATCAATAAAGTGTATAAGTAATAGACCTCATAAATGTTTTCATTGCTAAACCAAAAAGTGTGCTATCATCGTTTCCTCTGATAGCCTTAAAACTGTTTCCAGTCTTCTCTCTTCAGCATTTTTGATTCTCGTAAGGACAAATGGATCTTATCCTATTTATAAAACTCCTTTCCTTCCAGATATTTATCTCTGTATCCCTCAATCTTTCTGCCTGACTCTTTCCTGACTAATTTCTAGAACCTCTGGACAGGTCTCTCTCTTCCGGAGCACATTCCTGAAAACTTCATAAGAAGGGCTAAATGGGACGTAAGCTTCTGAGTTTTTATAATACATGTTCGAAAAATATCTTTATTCTCTCTTCCCATTTCAACAGTTAGTTGGGACAGGTTTTAGACCCAAAATAATTTTTCCCTTATAATATTAAAGGCTTTTCTCCATAACCTTTTAGGATCAAAAGTGTTGACGAGAAGTCCCATGTCGTTCATGCCTTCATGTATTCCTTTGTAGGTGATTTTTTTCTCTCTCTCGAAGCTTTGAGGATTTCCTCTTTAGCCTTGATGTTCTGAAATATCTCTGAAGTATTTGAAAGTGTGGGATTTTTCCCATTCACTTTCACAGGATACTTGATGAGCCCTTTCAATTTGAAGAGTAATAGTCTTCAGTTCTGGGAATTCTTTTTTATTAATTCTTTTATAATGTCTTCCTCTATATTTGCTCTAATTTTCTTTTTATGCATCTTCTATGAATTGGCTGTTAAAATCTACTGCATCAATTTTCTCATACTTATCTTTCTGTTATACTATTATGCCTTTTTATGTTTTCCAGATTTTTTGACCTTATCTTCTAGTTATTCTAATTTTGATCATCATAGTTTTAATTTCCAAGAAACTTTTTTGTGATTATGTTGAGCCCCAAAATACATGGAGTTATTGTTTGTATATAAGCAGTAGATCTGTGTGCTCTGTTTCCCTGTGGAAGTTATCTTTGTCTATTCCAGCTTAAGGGTACCATTCCTTCATGTTTAATGATGTGAGTAACTACCTCACTATGATGTTGGTGTCTTTTCATTCTGAGCCAATAGTCCACATTGGCCTCTGGAAGAGAAGAGCTTGGCAATCAACAAACTTTAGGGCGATAGCATTATTATCTAATTTTCACCCATGGAGAACTTTTGTCAAGATGAAAACTCACCACATGGAAGATAAATGTTGAAATATATGTTGATAATATGTGCCAACAGCTTTATTCAGAAATAGAGTATGAGTCAACATCTGAGAATGTGACATTTCTTCCTGGGTTTTCTGTACTCTCCTGATTCTTTTTAAGTATATTTCCTCAAATTATTTTGTTCTGATTTTATTCATTTATATAGCCTCTTAACTCTTCTAAATAAAGGAAAACACATTTTTTTTTAAGAAATGACAGGAGCACTGACCACTAGCTTGGCTTGAAAAAAAAAGTAGCTCTGTCTCCTGCATACTTGTAGTAATGATAATGATAGACTTTAAGCTTTACTGAGGTCATCCTATGTGCCCAGTACAGCTCTTTTTTAAAAAAGAAAAAGTATTAATTTTTTTGGCTGCACTGAGTCTTTAGCTAGAGCATGCCAGCTCTCTTTGTTGTGGCATGTGGGATCTAGTTCCCTGACCAGGGATGAAACCTGGCCCCCTGCACTGGGAGCATGGAGTCTTAACCACTGGACCACCAGGGAAGCCCCCTCAGCACAGTTCTAAGTACATTATAATATATTCTCTCATGTAATCCTTGCAACAATTCTCTGACATCCCTAGTTTGCAGATGAGAAAACTGAGAAAAGTGTTTCAGTTATTTTCCCAAGATTGTAAGGCAGAGACAGGTAGAACCAGATTTCTACCTCCATTGATTTTGACTCATGAACCTACACACTTCACCACTATGCCAAGACACCTTTCAAGACAGAAAAACAATTCTTCCATCAAAGAAGTTATTAAAAATTAATCAAAGCCTTGAGATTGGATGGACTGGACCCTGAAAATAACTGTCTGGTGACATTCTATATTTCAGAATATGCTCTTCTGTTTTCAGCCTTTTGATTTGTTGCCCAGGGTTGCTATTTCTCAGACAAAACAAAAAAATGAAAAGGGAAGAGAACAAATTTCTAAGTTAATAAGTATATCACAATTCTGTAAGTTTTTTTCTAATATTGAGTCTCAAAAGGGTTAATTGAATATAGGACCTTGAGATCCCAACATGTACACTCTTGCCTGCAGACTTGAGTATGTATGGGCATGCACACACAGAAACACAAATATTCTGCGTACAATTCAAGAAAGGTTCTTCCATCACATATGACCTGGTGGTCCAAGTACAAGACTGTAGGCCAAAAATCACTGAAGTCTAATTCTTTTTCTAACACAAGCTCCTTCTGTGGCCTTGAGCAAGGCAATTATCTTCTCTGAGTTTCTCAGCCATTAAAGAATAATAATATGTGGTTATGGGGAGAAGTCATGGTGAAGATTAATGACTTAGCTAATGTGTGTACAGAGCTTTCAAGAGCACATGCAGCCTGAATATTCTAAGTCAAGCACGATGGGATCTCTGTTTACCACGAGTTGCTGTGAAAGGTAGAAACAGGTGTTTTCACAGATATCACCCAT